TGCAAAACAGGTATCTGGAAGTTAAGGAACTAACTTACTATAGATAATTTCAACTCAACTGCTTCAGCACTCTCGATTAGTGCCCCATCAGGGATGCCTCTTTTTTCGCTGTTCACTGAAACGTAACTTGGTGATCTTGTGGCTTTCCGTCGAAGACGCCTCTTCCTGAGACGACGCTCGCGAGATTCGGCTCGTTCTTCGGCACCAGACGAAGATTCCGAATCTGATGCTGGCTCTGTAGATTGACTCTTTTGCCTCGAGTTGTGACGAGCTGCTGGAATTCACGGCTACTTAAAATTATCCACTGGAACGAATCATTTGGCGGTTTATCTGCCTACCACCATCATAATTTTCACTGCCATCTTATTGAATCGCATTTATTACTATCACCTTAACAGTTTATCGCCTTACAACTTGCTCACGAACAACATAGACGAGACTATATTCGATAATTACTTCTCTCTCGAGCTGACAATCTCTTGCGCACACTCTCCAGTCCCACACTGCTATCGCGACTCTTGTTATTGATGGTCTCCAGCGAATAATTCTTTGGAGTGTAAACATTCAGAAGGCTACTCTCAATACTCGGTTGCTGTTGTGCCATCAGACGGCGAATTCGCGGAGATACATCCCTGAAATCGTTTTCATATTTCAACATTCAGTCGATGAACTCTTGACAGTTGCGGTGAAGTCTAATTATGCTATTAAAAAACAATAGAAACCGATCGGAAATAGATCAAATGATGAGTGGAACGTTATTTTCATTTGAGATAATGAATGAAAATCATAGAATACTGAGTTGTGCATACCTTGAAAATGAACCATAGCGTGCAGCCAGCGTTGTGTACAACGATTCTTGAGGTCGAACAGGAGAATAACTCCTGAAACAAGTGCACACTTTCATGAATTTACTTGGAAACTTCAGATTCAGAAGCTCTGTACATCACTGACACGTAACGCAGTCAGTGCAGACCAGTGATGGCATCCGGCGGATGGTCGGTCGGATTTCCGACTGTCCGAGTGATGAAAAGACGGCCGGATTCCGACTGACACGAAACTTTGCTCAGATACCATCACTAGTGCAGACCATCTTGTCGCAGTTGACCAGTGCTATTATGTGTCAAGACGGCACCAGGTAAGTTGCAGTGAAGTACAAATGATAAGTATCGGTTCATACTCACCTGGACAGCATCGGTTCACGATTTTTCGCTAGACCTTGCCTCCACGAGTTATAACTCGAAAAATTACTAGCGCCATATTTTGTGGCCAGTGGATATGTAGTTCCTCGAAATGCTGAGCTATTGCCGATACTTGAAATGTCTAATGAAGAATTCCTTGAAGCAAGTCGATTACGTAATGATCCCTGTATGTATCATATTATCATTTGCTGATTATAAGTGATCCATTCATAAGCGAGAGTTTCTTTCATCAGAGTTCTCAGATCGCAGACAGAACTCACGCTCTAATCACTTTAAGTATAGTGTTGAATCAAGCATTGTCACTGTTATGAGTTTTAATTTTGTGTCTAATGATAAAGCTATCACCATAGCAAATCAATTATCTTATCAGTTCCGATAATCTGTAAGTTAAGACAGTTGTTCAGATCATTATCAGCAACAGAACAACTATGGAATTGCTCGTAAATGCATTCAAAACTGACTAATGTTGAGTTATCCAAAAACGATCGATTCAGAGAGTTGCGTGACGATCTCAAATCCTCAGTGCTGTTTTGATGGGAGAGACTGTTGTTCGAGTAACGTTGTGAATAATGGTATGATGATGGCGATATGTTCGATGAATGCATTCCTCCCGTATCATTATTATCATTATTATTATTATTATTTTCACCATCGAACAGATTTCGCAAACGCGCAGCTTCATTAAGTCGTTGTCGCCAGGGTCGTTCCAATTTTGATGTTGGACTAAAATTCAGCCAAACTTTCAATTTTCACCATCATCAACAAATTGCTACAAAAACATAAAGCGAACAGTAAGGGGCACTTGATAAACTGTATGGACAAATGAGGTTTTTAGTGGAGCATCGATGAGGTGCTAGAACGATAGCAAGCGATATGCAAGCATGACATAAGCAAGCGTTATTGTTCAACGATACGATAACATCAATAAAGCGCATCCCTAATAACAATGTCAAGCATTGAACGCAACCTGTGTTCTATTGCACGTGGATAGGATGATTCGAATGCTCTGAAAGGTCTGCTCATATTGCATTCATATGCATAGCCAAAACGAGGGTTGATTTTAAGCAAAATGCCTAATCAATCGTTCAGCTGGAATCGCATCCAGATTCATCGACCTCCTTTGCAAACCTTATTTCACGGACAGTTTGATCAGTATTCAGATCATGAGCACTTTTGAGACAGTTATCGTAAGTTCATGATCATTATCGTGATTTTGGCTGTTGATCACCATGAGTTGGGTTCGGCACGGGAATTTNTTTTTTTTGGAAAGGAAACGTGAATAAGGATAGGTGGATGGATGGATGAGATACCTTGTTGAAGTGCGATTGCGACGTTCGATGGTGGGCGAACGCGTGGTGTAACGTTCACGAATGGATGACGACGGAGCGGGAGAAGATATCGTTCGTTTTGGGTACGACTCGTATAATGAGGAGGTACGTGAAGTTCCGGCTGCAGAACGGCCTGAAATCGAGGGCAATCAGATTCGATCATTGTCGCAATGCGATGAGACTACGAAAGTGAGACAGTGCCATCAAAATATTGGGTTTAACTGCCCGAGAACTCCCTGCCATACCTAGTATTATAGTTGGATCAGTAACTGACTTAGATCATGAGTTCTGAAGGCAAGCTCCAGCTGATCAGGTTTATGATACAGAACCCGTGTAGGACAGAGCATGTGAAACAAGTTCATGATTAATGGCATTATTGCCGAGAGCGGAACACTCATGCCTAGATGCCTATGGATGGACGCATGCTACGAACCTTTCTCCAACGAAGAGGAATATCTCGACGATGCATTGTATAGGCTGCTTCCTCGATTCGATCCCAGTGAGCCGCTATCGTTTGTGGAATTGCGAGAGCTCAAATACGTATTGGCCAGTGTTGATCTTCGTGGTGCTTAAAGGCAAAAATTGAACAGATCAACAGAATGATTGCAATAAACGATCGCAATGTTTGTGGGTCTGATTTCAGAATTCATTTTCGTGAATGAATAAATTGTTGTAATGAACTTCGCATAAGTTCATGCATTTGCTGACTGCAGCTTACTGATTCTTTGAATAGTTTGAGTTCATGGATGACGTGATCATGCACTAATCATAACATGAATACAACTTAATCACTGTTGTAAGATCATGTTCTTTCAGTTGGTGCTTCAGTTGGATCGGATCGTTCGATTTTTAAGAATTTCTCTGCACTCCCAAAAAAAATTTCAACAAATTCTGAAGAAAACGCATTCAGTTTGATGTTCACCACAACTTGAACTAGTATGGATGAGTGAATTAATATTGATCACCACTGACTCTCGATCTTCACTTCTAACATCTATTTCATCAGCAAATAGCACGTGAAAAGTATAGGAGCAGTCAAAGTAATGCTATTCAAGTAGGCTGAGAAGAAAACTCATCAATAGCATCATCCAAGATGATTGAGAAATAGTTTGAAAAAAGATGGAAGAACGAGAAAAGAGAGAATATCAACTAAAACAATGAGCTTAAAATATGACTTCTTATGAAAAAACATATATTTCTTGAGAAAACACAAATGATATTGCAAAATACACTGCAAAATTAAGCAGTTACATTGCAAAATCTCGTAAAGTTACTGCGTAATAAGTGAGCAGTTATGATTCGTATCTACAACTGTAATAAATCCTTTTTCACAACTGTTGCCATTTAACTTGGATCAGTTTAGTTGGCGAAGCAATGCGTAAGTAGACAAGAGTAATATTGAAAGCTGAATTTTTTTCTATTTTACTTTGTAAAGTGCATCCTAGCCGACAGATATATGCCTTTCGATAATACTTCCATATTGTTTTGATAACTTTGTATCAATGGCCGAATCTTAAACTGTTCGAATGTTATTTTGCAGTGTTAAGTCGAGAATTCATAATGAAAGAGGTATCAATCAATCATTTCAATGACCACTTTAAACACACTAAATAGATTCGCGAATATTGATGTAGTTCTTAACATCTTTTGAATTGTTGTTGTTTCAAAAGAAGATGTTCGTAAACATGATGAGTACTAATGCACAATGGCATTTTAATAGAATGATTTGCAATAGATGAGCATTTCTATTGCCACATGTATGAAATATTTATTTTCTTGAGAGACGAACGCAAGAAACGCATTACAAGCTCGGTTGAACGCATATGCTTTGCACCACATGTCTTCAGTTATTGTTCAGAATCAATTCAAAGCGTTTCACTTCCATGCAAATTCTGATTCATTCTCTATCACAGTAAATCATAAACGCTATACGAATATCAAAACGTTCTATCAAAAGTTTCAGCAAGAAATCATAGCGTATTTTGTAAAGTAATCCTGCATATCCTGTGACTAGCGAATATAATAATCTCGAATCTATTCAACGACAAACTAACGTTTCTCTTCATGAATTTTCTGGCTTAAGATAAAATGACTGCTGCGCAGATCGGTTTTGATGCTATGGGGAGATCACAATGTGTTACGTGAGATTATTATGTCAAGATTGTGAACTAGTAGCAATTGGGAGAAGTGATATGGATGAGGTGTCTTTTGGAGACGATTCGAATGAATCGAAGACATTATTGTGTTACCCGGATCAGGTGCCCATGCTGATCGNGCCAGGAAATTGCAAACCGCTATTCAATCACTCGTAATGAGTTGCAATATCACAGTTTGGTATTTTATCAACCGCCTCCTTAATATCTAATCCAGAAACTCAATAAAGTAATCCCTTCTGTCCAAAAAAATCAAGCAGCAGGTTTTAATGAACCAGGAAAACCACAAATGCGGCTTAGAGTGCCCATGAAAACGATTAGTATAGGTTCAAAATTCACCACAATATCATCACATACCCAGTATCGATGGTGAAACGCTTTGATGAGGGTGATTGCGATGGGGTGCTAAAGCGGGCTAGATTAGTCCTGCCGGATGTAGACGATAGCATTGCTGTACCGAGTGGTTTCGATGCGGCCGAATCAAAAGCTTTCGTCAGACGACTCAAATGACCTCCTCTGCGCTCATCACCAAACACTGGCTTATTCCAACGAACTGAGTTCCAACTGAAGATTGCACGAAAATTCGATTGATGCAACCAGAAAGTTCTGTTTTTTCAATTTCCTTTGGTTGTTGGATGTAATCACGCAAATTAATCAAGCTGCGATTGGTTGCCACGCGGCTATGCACCTTATCACTGCATATCTCTTTCCTCAATCACTTCACTTTCCAAAACATTTGTGCATTTGTGTGCTGTTGTGAGAAAAAGAAGCAAGCTTCGCGTAAATAGTGGAACGACGACGGTTTTTGCATTACCTCAGACCACCACGTAGCTTTTGAGAAGAACTTTTTTCTCTACATCAAGCAATCTAATGCCAGCATTTCAATCACATTCACTGCCTATTGAATGCATTTATACGCTCATTTTACGCGTTTGGATAGCAGCAAACAGTAATAATACTATGCTGTTTGCTGGATGAAGCGGTTCACCTCAATAAACTATGGCATCATGAGTGGAGGAACTTCCCGAACAGATTCATGAATTCAGTACGAGTCTATTAGCATGTTCAGTGGGAGTCTATTAGCATTTTCATTTGATGTTTTTCAACGGCTAACCGAAGCCTTCAAGATGATTTATATTCCGAATGCACAATGATACATACACATGCACGAGCGCGTATGTGACATCTGGAAGTGATCTTATGAGTTGATCAAACACGACTATTCCAAGCATAAATCACTTGCATCTCAGGGNTGCTGCTGCTGCTGCTGTTCGGTTGCAAAGGCTGTGTGTATACATTACTCACCTTGTTCCATACGTATGTGGTTCAACGGTTGAACTGAGTGAGCGCAGATTCGAGCCTGTAGCAGCAGCGGAATTATTACTGCCAGCACCCCATCGTCGGTGATATAAACCAGTTGAAGATGGCATTTTGAACGAATAGCAGTTATCTAACGAATAAGGAAATGCCTAACGAAGAAATAAGGGAATAAGGCAGAGTGGTAATGTAGCAACAGTTAGAATATAGGTGAATGCAAACAATCGCTATGATATCCAAATAACTCTGAATCCAAGATGATCAATGAAGAATATCCAATGTCCAAACTACTTTTGGAAGAATATAGCAAATACGTTTACAAACCAGCAGATCCGGAACTTCAACTACTCATCAGTTCGGAGGTAAATTAAATTCGTCGAGTTGTGTTTCAGATGTTACTTAAATTAAGTTGAATCAATAACACCACAACGAGGTCAAGCCAGCAGTTCAGTTAGATTGTGTCGCCGTATCATTAGGATCATAATCTTCATCAACAACATCGTGTCTCAGCGAAGGGCACGCACAAACTGGCGGACCACAAGGATGTATCCTGACGGTGTATTCAACTATTGACCGAGCGTAAGGTAAGGTCTAGTAAGTATGATAAGACGGGTTTAATAAACTTGAGTAAAGGTCGAAAGGACTTTGGTAGACAGCGCAGCCAGAAGTCGGGCCGACTGCAGAGCCCCGCTTGAGAGTCGTTTCTGAAAAAAAAAGTATTTTCTCGCTGATTGGTCAGAAACTAATAAATCTAATGAATTGGATAGAATGCACACACACACACATTTATGCTATAAGTAATATCTTCAAAGAAATGCTTCGATGGAAACAAATGAATTACAAAAAGGTATCGTTCATAAGCAGCATATCTTTGGATTTATCACTGCCTGTTGACTTTTCAAGCGATAATGTTATAAACACTTTTGCTGTTTTTCAACATTCCACATCCCACACCGATGCTGTCGATGTGAATGCATAAGCTTATCAAATTTTATGAAGCAAGTCGATGCTCTCGACTAGTGAGTGAACTATTGTAACAGGTGACTCGACTCCACTCCACTCCACTCCACTCTTCTCGAAACAGAACGAACGCGAGAGCGAGATGGGATACGAACCGATGCAATTAGATGTATTGTGATACGTTACATAATTAATCGAATCTGAGGCGAGAACGAAGCAACTTACACACAGTGATTTATAGTTACAGCAACTGAACAGCTTCACTGCGTTCTGCTCAAAATAATCAACACGAAGCACTAGATGTGCAAGCATACAACTATGCAGGTTTCCTCAATTTACGGCTTTCAATTTCAATTTTTGATGTCTTAAAGTAAAATGTGTTATCTATCGCACCTAGTGTCATCTGCCAACGATCCACAAACGAGGAAGATGATGGAGTGAGTGAGTTGCACAATATCGCATCTGACATTATTGGTCGAAGCTTTTGCTTAGACTCGATGTTTTTGGATAGGTAATTTTATATGCACATTATTGCGTGAGAGCATCAAATGAACTCATACACAGAAGACGGTCGAAATATTGCTGACATTACAAGATTACTTTGACAGGAATTTCTTTCTGCAATGCATTTTTCATAGTAATATTTCGTATAGTTCGATATCATGCTTTGCTGCATCTTTTCTTTCTTTTTTTCGATTATTTCGAGGAAGATTCCAGTCAGAAATTCTAAAAATTGCTCATTGAACATCTTGGAATTTCGCTTGAAAATTTCACACTTTCAAAGCTCTCAGCAAACACTCTCTTATTGTTAGCATTCATCATCATTTTCTTGTGTTCCTCAAGCGGCGATCAGTTGAACGCGTTCTTTTTTTGCAAACGCTATGACTAATGATAAACTATTCATGAGAACGAAACCACTTTGTGTAGTCATCGTCTAGAGCACATTCGAACGATTAATTTAATATTCAAGTGAAATAACATGCATGAACTCATTCGCACAGCAATGTCGCTCTATAGATGCCTAAAACGCTCCTCATACCGAAATAAACATTTGCTGAATGTACTAAGAACTGGTGAGGAGTAATTTTATCGTGAGAAGATGCAGGAAAACTGTTCAATTTTAAATTCACCAGCAGCCGAATTTTTGGATTCGGAAATTTAAGAGATCAACTGCCGAGAATGTTGAGCAAATCTGGTCAAACTCTGCTAAAATTGGAGCTCTGCTCATTATCGCAAATATCAGCTCAAAAAGAATCTTCAGAGTGTAATGAGATGAAAGTTGAGCTTATTGTTAGCATTAGAACGCGTGATGAAAGTGTTTACCAATCAGTTCAAGCCTAAGACTTTGCCATTTGTCAGTATTCTTTTGATTAACCGTATAATCTACTCAAGAAATCGCCAACCCCTGAATCACATCAGATATTCATCACAATAAGGAA